CCCCGCACTCCAGTCTGGGCGACCGAGTGAGACTCCAACTCAAAAAAAAAAAAAAAAGTTGTCTGTGGGGTGATGCATGGGATTCTCTTTGAAGTTTTCAGCAGGCCCAGTCAATAATCTAGATTTTTTTCCAGAATAGTCTAAATTTCAAACACAGAAGCCTCTAGCCATTCTTAGTTTGTAGTCATTCCTATTTTGGAGAGACCCAGAAGAAGCATGCTACTTGGAACTTATCAATTCACTGAGGCCTGTTTGGATCACTGTGGAGTGGAGTGCAGGAGCAGTTGCTTAGCAACCAGTGTCTCAGCAGACCACCCAGGGCCCACTTCTCAATGTGGCTCTGTTGGGCCCTCCTTTTGTCATATATCCAGCAACTCTTGTGAAGTGGTAAAGACTTGGGGAAATGGCCTCAGAAAGAATTCTAACTGCTAGAAGAGAAGACAAAGGAAAAGAATTCCGGTAAGTTAGAGTTCTGGATCTTTGCCAGAAAAAGGACATTTTGGAATAGAGCAGAGTGTTGAATTCAATAGTGGCTAAGATGTAGAAGTGGACAGGTTCTCCATAAGCTCTTCAATGATTAGGGTCCTCTTGAAGTGATGAAGAGTGCTTTTTAAGCATGTGCATTAGTAATTTTACTATGTGTGTTTTTAAATAAGATTAGAAAAAGCTGTGGGATAGACCCCTTTTATATGTTGACAGTTATCTGTGTTCCAACTTATTTATTTCCTATAAATATACCTACACTAGCCGTTTTACATGTCCCAGGTTTGGTTTGGAAAACAGTCACAGTGAAGGTCACCCAACCAAGGGAATTTCTGGTGTAGCACTACCCATAACTCCACAGCCATGACCCCAGGAGTCCTGTTTTCAGGAAAGGTTCTGACCAGGAGACTTCCTCAGTGTCCCTGCTGGCTCCTCCCTACCCCCACAGCTTGGAAAAATCTGAGCAGCAGGTGGGACAGGAGCACTCAGACTGAGGCAGAGACGTTTTCCCCATCTTCCTTATTTGTGGTTATACCCGTTACTGATAGCAGCACTTCTGTTTTGTTTTACTTTGTTTCTTAGGATAAGGTTTAAGAGGGCCTTATTCACTGCAGATTCAATGTGGATTCTGTTTTCCTGCCACCCCCCAGTCCTCTATTCTAGCCCTTCAGGCTGCCACTCTCCCACTACCCGTGAGTCATTTGAAATGGAGTTTGGGGGGTGTATGAAAGCCTATGGTCTCCTGCTCCCTTCAGTTCACCACTCAGCACCTCAATGGATGTCCTGTCTTCAAGGGCCTCCACCTTGCCTGCTGCTCCCCAGAGAGTCTAATAGCGACAGGCATTGACTAGGGAGGCTGGGTTTCCCAATACACTTCATTCATTTATTAAACACTTATTAAGTACATACTGTGGGTCAGGTACCCTACTGGGCCCAGGATACACAGTTCACAAGACAAGGTCCTGCCAGCAGGGTCTCACAGTCTAAGTAGTTCTCACACATACACAAACATATTAGCGTAACACAATGTCACATATCAGTAACAGAAATCTGTGGAGTCACAAGAAATGGGCAACCATGCTAGTTTAGGAAATTAAGCAGGCAGATGAATGTGAGAGGGATGGGGAAAAGGGATTCCAGAAGGAGGAAGAGGTATGGGCATGATGTGCACGTGGGGAACTCTTGCATAGACCTGAAAATACATGATCTGCCATGGTCAGCGAGGACCGGACACAGAAGACAGCGTCTTTCCTCATGGAGCTTATAGTCCAGAGGGGAGGGCAGTCAGACAAGCTCACAACTCTCAAGGAGGCAGGAAGTAGTAAGTGCTAGTTTTAAAAGAACAGATAAAGAAAGGGTCAAGAGTTTTCACAAAAGGAAGAGGGGACTTTGGGCTGGAAGAATCCCAGGGAAGTTCATGCACTGGATTTTGAGGAACATGTATTATGGATGTGCAGAGATGGGAGAACATTCCAGAGGAAAGAGGTAGAGTGGGGTACACATGCAGTACATAAGACAGTGCCATTGCTGGGTGCTGTGCAAGCCATCCCATGAACCAGAGGTGGCCCAAAGAAGCTGGGATGAGAATAGTGTGTATGTGCGTGTGTGAATGTGTGTGTGTGTGTATGTGTGTGTGTATGTGTCAAGAGTCAGTATTGGGGGAGACCAGTGAGGGGATGGGAATGATATTTTGAAGTGCTGAGTGCCAGGCCCATGTGCACCCCTCAAACTGCAGGAAGTGACCTAGGGCTATGCCGGATTCAGAGGTTGCCATGTGTGAAGCTATGGGGTAATTTTGGCACAGCTTTACTGGTTTAATTGTTTTTAACGCTTTTGATGAAAAACATTTCTTTATTTTTCTTGAGTTGGAGTCTCACTCCGTTGCCCAGGCTAGAGTGCAGTGGCACGCTCATGGCCAACCCAGCGTCGACCTACTGGGCTCTGGTAATCCTTCCACCTCAGCATTCCAAGTAGCCGGAACGACAGGTGTGTGATACCACACTTGGCTAATTTTTTAAAATTTATTGTAGAGACGTGGTCTCATCAAGTTGCCCAGGCTGGTCTCGAGCCCGTGGGTTCAGGCAATCCCCTCACTTCAGCCTCCCAAAGTGCTGGGATTACAGGCTTGAGCCACCGTGCCTGGCCAACATTTCTTTATTAATACACATTTAAGGCTGGGCTCGGTGGCTCAGCCTGTAATCCCAGCACTTTGGGAGGCTGAGGCAAGTGGATTGCCTGAGCCCATGGGTTCGAGACCGGCCGGGCAACTTGGCAAGCCCTTGTTTCTACCATAAAATATAAAATTAGCCGGGTGTGGTAGCGCACGCCTGTAGTTTTGGCTACTTGGAAGGCTGAGTGGAAGGATCACCACAGCCCAGCAGGTCAATGCTGGGGTGGCCATGAGTGTGCCACTGCACTCCAGCCTTGGCAATAGAGCAAGACTCCAAAGCAAAAAACAAAACAAAAAACATTTTAAAAGGTTTGTTTTAAGATAAAAATACAACTGCAATGAAATTGCTACTGCCCCAGAAAGCCCTTCAGTGAGTATACACTCTCGTGGCCCTTAGGGCAAATAAGGAAAAGATCTGAGAAGCCTGGACACCCTTAGCCAATTTAATCCTCACGGCATCTCCATGAGGTAGATGTTATTATAAGTGAGAAAACTGAGATCCAGCAAGGGTGTAATGTGATTGAGGTTACACAGTTAATAAGCAGTTAAATCAGAACTCAGTCCATGATCTGTGTGCAAGTCCATGTGTTTTTGTGTGTGTGTGTGTTTGTTTTTTTGCACAATAGTCTGAATGGTTGATAAATGAGGTATGGTAGAAAATAAAGCTGAAAAGATAGGTTGGTGTTAAATTATGGAAGATCTTGAAGGCCAGGCTGAAATAAAGGCAGAATGTAAAAAAGCATGTATGGCCCACAAGGGAGGGACCTGGAGGAGTTGAGGGTAAGAAAACAAAGTTTGGTATGGCTACAAGAGATAGTTATTCTCATCCCAGCTTCTTTGGGGCCACCTCTTATCCCTAAAATGGAGTATGACCTGTGCCCAACAATGGCATTATTCCTATGGCAATAGAAGGAAATGTGTCTCTTCTTCTGTTTGTCTTCTGCTTAAAGTTGTTTTCAGCACAGAGAACTCAGAATCATTGACCAGTCCATTCTTAAATTGAATGCTAGAGAACACACGCCAACCATCTGTAACTTCTCCCAAGGTGCCCCTCCCATAGTTAGTATACCTTCTAGAGTTGACACAACAAGAGAGAACAATATTATTGGGTCTGAAAAGACATCAATAGAGGGTGGGGGCTTCTAGGGGCAGATGCGATTTTCTAGATCTATTATTTTCCATCTGGAGGTCAGTGAGACAAAACATTGTGTTGATATGAACATCAAGAGATTTATGTTATTTTCATAGTAGAAAAAAAAACCTCCAGAAAGGACTCCCAGATGGTAACTTGGTGCAAAAACAAAATAAAGAGTTATTTGTGGCTTGAGATAGTTGGAAACTGTTCTTTGCTTAGGAGATAGTTGCAACACTTTGCAACTGAATGTTATTATTGTCTTTCTTCTTTTCTTTTTCTTTCTTTAGTATCTGTTGAGACAGTTTATTAAGAAACCAGCCAACATCCTGGAGATCCTCAGGCCACCTCAAGTACTGCTTTTTATGTATGAAGCCCCTAATGGGTTGATGTTTCATCAACTGGTACTGGGACAGGGACCCAACCACCACCATGATGAGGGCACTGTTAAGGTCAGACAAGCACCTGCCGTGGGCATAACTGAAGGCTTCCAGACACCAGCCATCTCTAAGGAAGTGTCTGCTCACAAGACAAACAATCTTTCTGCTGCTGCAGATGGCATCCTGGATGTTGGCGATGTGGTTTTCTCCTGGAACAAAGTCTCTTTCTTCAAAGCACAGGTTCAGTTGGTTTTGGGTGCTATACTGAGTGTCCAGGTGTTTGAGCAAAGCATTCTGTACCCATTCAAAGTCTTTGCTACTGAAGCACAAATAAGCATCATATTTGTATGTATCAGGTGCTGTTCCCTGCGGATGGCCCTTGAACACCAGTCTCTGGACTGTCTTATAACAGACAAAACAAAAGCCTCGGAACTTCGTGACTACAAGGATGGCCACGAGGAACAGAGTCAGAATGACAGTGAATAAGATGAAAAGGGAAAATGTCAGGAACTTTAAGACTTCCTCTTCATCACAATCTTCCGTGGACACAGAGTAAAGGGAAACCCCAAAGAGCGAGTTAGGGTACATGCAGTAGATGTCTGCAGGAGACCCAAATATAGTGACATTGGTATGATTAAGCCAACTGATAAAAGTGCTAAGTTCACACTCACAAATGAACTTATTATGCGTTATATCCAAGGCACTAAGTGATAAAAATAAATTAGGGCTGGGAACTAGGAGCTGGTTTCTGGATACATCCAGGATTTCTAAATTAGCAGGTAAATCACCAAAGGAAAGAACGGTCAGCCTGTTGGAGTTGAGGCTCAGTCCCCTTAATGCGATCAGACTGCTAAATATTCCTGGTGGGAGGAAATTAAGGTAGTTATTATTCAAATACAGAACTTGGAGATGGGAAAGTCCCTTAAAAACATTCCAGCACAGTCCAGTTTCCCAGGCAAGCTGTAACATATTTTCTCCAAGGAAAAGTTGTTCCAAACTTGGATTCTCTGAAGTGCTCTGACTTTGGCTACAAAAGGATAAGCGATTTTGATTTAAAATGAGAATCTGGAGGCGAGGCACTTGGAGAAGAAAGTACAGAACATCCAAATGTTCTAACCTGTTTTCTGATAAGTGGATGAAGCTGGCTGTAAGGCTGATGTTTGGCAAAGTCACCAGTTTATTGCTGCTCAAGAAGATATCAGATATGCTTGGAATAAAATTAATGGTTTTAAGAGCGTTGTCCCGGAGATCCAAGGTACTTAAGTTTTCCAGGACTCTGAAAGTTTGGTCTTGAATTACCCCAATGTGATTATTTTTCAGATCAACATAGGCTACCTTAGGTAGTCCATAGAAATTTGAATTGTAAAGTTCCCCCAGAAGGTTATGTGACATATTGAGAACTTGGAGGTTGTCAAGTCCATTAAATGCTTCACGTGCAATCTTGTTTATCTTGTTGTGGGCAAGATTTAGAACCTTCAAGTCCTTGAGTGTCTCAAAGAGTCGACGGTTCAGGGAGAAGATAAACCCATATGAAAGATCCAGACGTATCACAGAGTTTCGGGCCAGGCCAGCAAATGTGTTCTGGTCAGGATCTTTGAGGTTATTGAAGCCAAATCCAGAACCCATGATGTGGTAGGAAAGAATCAGTGAGGAAGTCTGGCTTCCACTAATGGCATTGCTGAAGTTTCCTGTGATGTCCACTGTCCAGCCATTGCCAGAAACATCTAAGGTTTCCAGCACCATGTTTCTGAATGGGTTCATACATTTCCCCCAGTCCATGGAGACTTTGCTATATAGGCTATTAGCTGCGAGGCTTAAAAAGGAGAGTGTTTTCCCTTGGAGGAGCTTTAGGTTGTTCTCACAGACAATGGATATCTGGTTGAGGGAAAAATCTATGGACTTTAAGGAATTCAGTTCCCCAAATGAAGGATGAAGGTAAAGGCTGTGAATCTGATTTTTTGACAGATCCAAGCGAATTAAAGAGTTTAAATTTCTGAAATAACCATCTCGTAATACAGCATCAGAGAGACCACAGGCAAATAGTCTAAGTTCAAATAGATGGGACAATCCCTGAAAAGCATCCAGATGCAAGAAGTCGATCTGGCTTTTGCCCAGGTCTAAGATTTTAAGGTTGGGCAGATTTATGAAGGCCTCCTTGTCAATAGTCAAGGGGGTCCACTGGGTCCCCAGCTCTAGCAGCTGCAGCTGCTCCAGGTAGGGGAATGATGAGGAAGTGACTTTCCTGATGTAGTTGAAGCTTAGCAGGAATCTCTCGGTGGTGTTGAGGACCTGGGGGACCTGGGTGAGGTTGCAGGAACGATATAAGGCTATCTGACCATCAAAGGAGCAGGAAGAAATTCCAAACACAGGACTGACCATGAGCACCACTCCTAAGAGAAGGTCAAGGCGGCCTCCCATGATCCTATGGAAAAGAAGGAAGAATGAAAATGCAGGCACCTAAGCTCTAGGTATCACACCTGGGTCCTTAGATATTGGGGGTTCTTCTATGATGTGCCTGCTCACTTTGGCCCCTTTGTTCCTCTGACTCCATGAACTTGGCTGTTGGCTGATGTAGACAAAACTGTTCTTGCTCTCTGTCAAACACTTATGTTGAATTTTCTATATACCAGACACCATGCTAGGTACTTTAAAAGCACTTCACTTAATCCTTATAATAATGCTTTGTTCATTCATTCATTCATTTAGGATTTGCTGAGGGAAGTTGGAGAAAACAGCTAGAAGAGACACATTTTTGCTTCACTTCAGCTGACCACCTCATATCTACCCCATAGAGGACTCAGCAGATGAGTGAAAAATAAATCCACTGACTTTTCCCCCTAACTTGTCTAGGCTGTTAGTCCATCTCCATTTACCTGATCTTACTCCACACACAGTACATCTCATCATGCAGAAATTGGGCCCTTTATGTCATCTCCGCGAAGAGTCAGATTTGATTAGTTTAATTTAAAAATGTATGAAACAGCCAGGCTCGGTGGCTCAGCCTGTAATCCCACGCTTTGGGAGGCTGAAGTGAGTGGATTGCCTGAGCCCACGGGTTCGAGACCTGCCTGGGCAACTTGGCGAGATCTCATCTCTACAACAAATCAAAAAATTAGCTGGGTGTGGTAGTGCGCGCCTGTAGTTCCAGCTACTTGGAAGGCTGAGGCGGAAGGATCGCTGGAGCCCAGCAGGTCAAGGCTGTGGTGGCTGGGAGCGGCCACTGCACTCCAGTCTGGGCGACAGAGTGAGACTCCAACCTAAAAAAATAAAATAAAACAAATAAATTAATAAATTAATTTTTAAAAATGTATGAAACCCCTACTGTTTGCCTGGCAGTTGTTTGACTGTGAGTATACAACAATTTTTTAAAAATCACTCATAAGTGGACCCTGAACATTTACCATAATACTATAAGAAAGGGATTGGTAGTAGCCGGATACTGCCGGGGTAGGTAGGTGGGTGGGGGAACACAACATCAATAAGGTACCTGATCTCAAACCAGGCAAAGTGGGGACCAAAGGGAGGCCCAAACTTTACCTGTATGATGACTACTTGTATACCTAATCCTGAGTTGTACCTCACATCTTTAAAAACAACAAAAAAAGACCAGTCCACTTGCTTAGGTCGAGTAGGGGAGTTGACTGTCTGTTTGGGTTGAATGTTTGCTTCACAGGTACAGCAGCAAATGGTGCTCAAAGAATGTGTATACCTTATGTTCTAAATATTGCTCTGGGTGCCTGTGAGGAAAAAACACACAAGGACCCCACCCTCAGAGAGTTTGGTGTCTACCATCTGCATAGAACTTAGATCTTTGGTGCCTGTGACAATGCACTTCAATTTTCTCTGAATGTAACAAAAGGCTTCTGTTGGAAGGTAAGGAAAGAGTTATGTGGCTCCGAAGGCAGGGGAGTGGGGATAGGGGAGGGGGAAGAAAAGAAAGAAAGAAGAAGGCAGAGGTTTGTAAAGCGCATTAATCCCATGAGACACTGGCAACAGTTTAACATCAGGACAGATTAAGACTGGAGCAGTCAGGTCATGGCGCTGGAGTTGAGTAAGCTCTGATGAGGTTGTGTTTTGTGTTGGTGCTGATGTGTGAAACTGTGAGGCTGTGGCACACAAAGTACAGCGACTCAGAAGTAGGCAACCAGTCCTGAGTTGACTCAAAGTATCAAAATCAGGCATCTGATAATTTTCAGAAAAAGCTTGGTGAGAATGTTTATCCATCACTCTTAGTTTCTCTGCCGTCTCAGTAAATGCCTCCACCATTCCACCCCGAGGCTCAGGTGACAACAGCAGAGTCACCCTCACTCTCTCAAACATCACCCCCTCATCCAATCCATCAGCAAGTCCTGTTGGTTCTACCTCCCAAGGCTGTCCACTACTCCATTCCAAGCTGCAGCCATCTCTTTTCTGGGCGATCTCAGAGACTCCTCCCTGGCCTCTCTTATTTCCAGTCTTGCTCTCATTCTTCACACAGCAGCCAGAACATCCTTTTAAAAACGTGATTTGGTTGACATCACCCCTCTTTGCACAAAGCTCCTCTCTTCCTTCTTGCTGTACTTGAAATAAGACCTTGCAAGGACTCACATCATCTGGCTCTTGCCTGCCTCTCCAACGACAGCTTGAACCATTTTTTCTCCTCCACAATAACTTATTCAAAAATATTTATTAAGCACTTTATGTTGGGCATTGTTTTAGGAGCTGGAGATATAGACTTGAACAAAATAGACCAAGCCTGCCCTCAAGGAGCTTCCATCCCGGTGGAGGGATGATGTGACAGACAACAAAGGAGGAGTGGAGGTAAATGCAATGGAAGAATATGAAGCAGGAAGAAAGGGGCGGGATGCCGGGGCTGGAGCAGTGACTGCTGTTTACCAAGAGCGGTCAGGAAAGGTGTTCCTGATGTAATAATATTTGAGCAGGGAGAAGAAGGAAGTAAAGAAAGAATGTGGAAAGGCCTAATATTCACAGGGAGAGGGGCCGCTAGCACCAAGGTCCTAGGGTGGAAGCTCCAGCCCTATGGGGTTGCATCTGCCATTCCAAACCTTTTCCAACCTCAAGACTTTGGCACATGCCGCTTCCTCCATGTGAACCCTCTTCTCTCTGCACCTGACATGGCTGGATTTTACAGCAACATTTCCTCAAAGAGCCTTCTGGGTTCACTATGTGTAATAAATCCTCTGCCTGGCTACTCTCTCGAAAAGCACCTTATTTCCATCAAAGCAATGATCATAAGTCTTTAATTATCTTGTCTCACTATTTGTTTGCTTATTTATTGTCTATCCTCCCTACTACATTATATTCTGCACAAGTGCAACAAGCATTCAAAAAGATGCATGGTACTCACAAAAGAGAGAGAGAGAGAGAGAGAGAGAGAGAAGGAAAAAGAAAGAGAAAGAAAAGAAAAAAGAAAGTATATACAAAAGGAAACAGTATATTGAATGAGTGACGTCACCATCAATGGAAAGATAAAGGCATTGGATCATTTGAGGACTTCTGTCTCATCAAAACTTTCTACATGAAGCAGTGGTTCTTTATAGGGACAGTTACTTCCCTATTTTGTAAATTTGTGGGGATTTTTTTTGTTGTCACAGTGATGCGGGTAGCAGTCCCTCCAGTAATCAGGGATGCCAATACACATGCCAGTCCCGTACCACACAGACTCAGCCAGCATCCACGCAGCTGGAGGCTGTCCTGCCAGACATCCCAAAGAGTGAGGGGCCTGCTCAAAATTATCTCAGAACCTAACTTTGTATTACATGCCAACAAAGCATTTTTTGCTGTTTTTATATATACGGCATTTTCCAGGAGTGCAACCACCTTGTCAATCTAGGAAAGACTGTACTGTGTTTAGTTTGGAACTTTACAAAGTGTTATTCAGCATCTCAGGAAATCACTTCATGATGGCCGGTACCTCAGTGGAGAATCATGAACGATATAACATACTGTCCTGGCCATGCCACCCTCATGGTGACTGCATTTATGTGGGAGCAAATTTATTTGCCCTTCATTTCAAAATGCCAAATGTAATAAAAACATTTAAGAAGCATCAGTTGGATATTATCTTACTCCTCTTAAATCCAAACTTATTATTTATAAGTAGGTGTGACTGTCTCACTCACTTATTTCGTCTTCTAGTGTGGTTGTACCCAAGCATTCACATACTGAAACTCCTATTAACTCACTATAAATTACTTTCCCTTTCATTTCTTTTTTATATCCCAGTTTGGGCATTATCTTGATTTCTTTTAAAATTATGTGTGCAGGTGGATTATGTTATCACCATGAATACCATTTCAAAATAGTAAGGGGGTCATTTCAAATATTTGTTATAAAAAAAAAGGAGCCTGGTCTGACAGCACTGCAGTCCAGAGGCAAAACTTCCAGTTCTTTCTCTCCACATTCATTATAGGCTCTCTGATAATAAAACCAGGAATTCTTTGAATCCTATTTATTCTCTCCATATATATAGTTTGGGATTGTTTGTTTTGTGGGTGATCAGATTCAGTAATACAAACAAAGGAGCCACTTTCTTCCTCAGTGACTGTCGTGTGGCTTCAAATGGCCCTCAGAGCTAATGACCTCATATTTATGACAAACACAGGTGGGAGGTCACATTTTAGAAATGGGATAAAAGTTCAAAGTGACCTCCACAGATAACATGGAAGAATTATTGAAAGAAAATAGGAATCAATCAGGGCAGATGAGGATGCTACAGTTCAGAAGAAACCCCTGAAGGCAAACACTGTCTCTCCTACCGTGAAGATTTGGGAACGGTCCTCTCAGGCACCATGGGAGGTGCCCTCCTCTGTCCCTGCCCTCTTCAACTATATATTTATCATTTGCATCCTGCATATTCCCCCACAGTGTCCAATAACATCAAATATACATCAGGATGATAAAGCAAACCTAAAAAGGGCAGACCAGCATCTATAGAAAGAGGAATGGATGTCACAATGGAGGAGATGAGAGCCAGTTACTACAGCGGGCCCTAAATCCAGCTCTGAGTTTCCTGCCGTGAAATCGTAGGGCTGTGACTTCAGAAGCTGGTGTAGTCCTGGGAGGCCCAGATAAAGGAATAGGGGCAGAAAGCATGAGCCCTTATCAGTGGTACTCAGGGTGGAGATTCTGAAGATGTGCTTCAGAGAATACAAGAATGGGGAGAAATCGGGCCTAGTGACCCAAGGAGAAAATGAAATGGTCACAGAAAGACCATATGCATATTGAGTTTCACATAACTTTTCCACACATTTTATAGTGTGAAGTGGATTTTAGAATCACCTAAAAGGGATGCAAGCATGTCGACCTCATTTCTCACACCTGAGGATGCTACAGTGGACTACTATGCTCAGTCACACTGACCAGATACAGACAACATATTATAGTCATTCCTAAATTCTCTGAGGTCTTGAACCAAC